GTGTCCTACCTGCACAGCAACATGATCGTCCACAGGGACATCAAAGGTGAGCCGCCGCTTCCTGTCTGCAGCGCCACTTCCTGTCTGCAGAGATGATAACGAAGCGTGCGTTGTTTCCCAGGCGCCAACATCCTGCGGGACTCGGTGGGCAACGTGAAGCTGGGCGACTTTGGCGCCAGCCGGCGGCTGCAGACCATCTGCCTGTCAGGGACCGGCATCAAGTCGGTGACGGGAACGCCGTACTGGATGAGTCCAGAAGTAATCAGTGGCGAGGGCTACGGCCGGAAAGCCGACATCTGGTGAGACACCGCGCCGGTCACATGGGTTCCGGTCCCAGACGGCCGGTTCTGGCCCGTTCTGGCATGTTATTGGCGTTGTAATGATGATCCTCTGCTCTCTGATCTCAGGAGCGTGGGATGCACCGTGGTGGAGATGCTGACCCAGCGGCCGCCCTGGGCCGAGTTCGAGGCCATGGCGGCCATCTTTAAGATCGCCACCCAGCCCACCAACCCGGTGCTGCCGCCACACGTGTCGGACAACTGCAGGGAGTTCCTGCGGAGGATCTTTGTGGAAACCAAGCACCGTCCGTCTGCGGACGAGCTGCTGCGGCACTTCTTCGTACATTGAAGCCCCGCCCACCTGCAGAGCAGCCAATAAGGCCTTAGCTGAGGGGCGGGGCTGCCTCTGGCCCCGCCTCTTCTCCGGAGCAGAAGGACCCGACGTTTGGCTTCAGCACCTTAATCTGTCAGAGGCCGGTACGTGTTCTGGACCCGACCCGACCCAGAATGTAATCCACTCCAGAACCCAGAGCGACGACCCAACGAAAAACTCCCAGAAACTTCCTCTTCAGTCGGCGCCGTGTGCCTTCTGTGGTTCTAACGGCACCGGACGACCCAGTACGACCCAATGTGACCCAGTCCAGCCTGGTACGACCCGGTCCAGAGGTTCTGGCCTCCTGGATGAACCGCATTCACTCCAAACCCAACCCCAGCTGACCCAGTTCAGCCGGTGCCATCCGTTTATGCCTTTTCTGCAGCTGGAACCCAACAGGATCGCAGCCTGGCTCACTGCGTCCGACCAGAACCAACTGGTTCTGATGCGTTCTGCAGCCACTTACCGCCTCTTGAAGAGTCAGCTTCCTGTTCCCACAAAATTAAAAGCATCAGAGTTGGGATGCTTTGAAATTGACTGCTGAAGGTTTCTGAGCAGCCAATCAGATGCTGAGCTGGGGGCGGGGCTTCCTAAAGGTGCAGATTCCACTGGCAGGTTGTGTTTACGCTGCAGAACCGGCCGCAGCTCGGTCTGGATGTGTTGCAGAGTCTCCTGGGTCAGTAGGTGGCAGCAGCAGGAAGTGGATCAGCAAAGCTCTTCTAGTGAGTTGCTAAGATGCGGCTGCTCTGATCCGTTTGCCGGCGGTTCTGGTCCCAACAGGAAGTCCTGCAGGTGGACACTCCACCACCAGGAGCCACTGTGGGATCCACTGATGCTTTCTCCCATTTCCTCAGCAGTTGTCGCTGAAGCAGCTTCACAAATCTTTTCTTTGCACATTTTAAACACTGTTTTTCTGTGTGTGTGTGCGTGTGTGTGCGTGCGTGTGTGTTGAAGGTCCAGTTCACCTCTGCTGAATGTAATGTGTCATTTTCACCTCCAGGGGGCATCGCTCAGCAGTGGTTGAACTCTTCAGTATTTGTCAGCTGCAGATACACCGACAGTTCTCTCTTTAGCCACTGCTGTTGCTCCTGGTGTGTGTGTGTGCGTGTGTGTGTTCTGACCTGCAGAGGTACAAACATCAAAATAATGATAAAATGTACAGATGTGTAAAATGAAAACGTACCTCTTGTTTCCTTGTTCGTTCTGTCTTGTAAAGGAAGCCATGTTTATAATTCTGATTGGTTTGTGACCAATTTGCCTGTTTATATCAGATCTGTATATCAGTGGTACACATAATTTTTTAATATATATTTTTTATTTTGTTTGTTTTTTTATGGGAGATTTCCTGCATGGTTGTGTCTGAGAGACGCAGCAGAGCCATTGGATGGCTTCTGCTTTCCAGCTCTGAGTCAGAATTATGATGACCATGAAAACAATTAAAGATATTTATTTCACAGATTTCTCTCGTTTCTCCACATTTCATGTCTCTGTAAATGGTTAGGACCAATCTGCAATTTGACTCTATTGTCATAATTAAAAGGATACATGTTTTAATGTTAGTTGATATTCTAACATGTTAATGTTAGAATATCAACTTTAGTGTTCAGCAACTCATTCATTGCCACGATATCAGCCTAAAGTTTAAACAGGAGATTAATCTCCCAACCAATCATTGATAATTTACGCCCTCTTGTGGCTGTAGAGCGCAGCTTCACTGTGGAATAAAACACTTTCTGGTTGTTCCAAGAATAAATTAAGAAATCTTACGGTGTTTGAATCAAAGTCAAATGAACCACATTAGGGTTTAAAGTCGATGAAGGGACATGATGCAGAAATATAATTAATATAAAATTAAATTTTCAGAGTGCTGTTTAATTTAATAGTACATTTGGTTCCAGCTAACTATAGTGAAACAGTTTACTATCGAGTCTTTATGTCCCTTAAATGTTGCTGCTTTCTAGTTTATGTAGATTTTCTATAATGGCTGTAATTGTAGCACAGCAGCTAAAACCAGTAAATCGACTTAAAGATTGTAAGAAAACAAACTTTGTAAAATAAGAAGCTTAGATTTTTCTGCTAATTTCTTATAATTCTGTTGACTTAAACTTTTAAAAACGTAACTTTATGTTAAGATGTTTTATTTTTGATTGAGCCAACAGGAAATGTGCATAAATGTAATTTATTCAGCTTTATGTTGATTGTAGTTAACATAACTGGCCTGCAGAGGGCAAAGAATCCTCTGTTTGTAGCTCTATAAACAGCTAGGGTTTCTAGGTTTCGCCTCCAAATCAACCAATAAATAAAGTTTAAATCATTATGTTAGCTTAGTTTAGTTTAGTTTAGTTTAGTTTAGTTTAGTTTAGGGAGAAAACAAACAGTTTAAAATAAGAAACTATCCTCCAGCTATGGTTTCTAAAAATGTTACTTTATGTTAGAGCAAAAAGTATGTTTTAGTTTGAAGATAAAATTGTAAATAACTAATTAATGTAGCTTTATTGCAGTTACCATCAGCAACCACAAGAGGAAGAAAAAAGATCAACTACAGTTTATTTCATGGCAGCAGTTTATGTCCAGGTACTGTTACTTTAACCAGGTTAACCATTTAGGTCACAAGGTCTGATAATTTGGGAAAATCAAGATGTTTCCTATAATTTTACGTCGTAGGTCTGTTCAAAATTTATTTGGATTAATTAATATCAAGTAGTTTTAGGATAAATCCTGATGGGTTGTTTGAAATAAAGGTAAGGAAAAAGGTAAGGACGGCTGTTTGGTCCAGTTGCATCCATGCTAGTCCTTAAGCAGACCAGAGGATGTTCATTGGGAGAAAAGGTTTTACAGTCCAATCAGCGTGTGTGGTGTAGCATATGTTCATGTGTGTGTGAGGCTATTACTCATAGAGGACTGGGCTGCAATTTAGACTTCTGAGCCCTAGAGTCACCTTTCCCACATGCTGTTCCTATAGGCGGAACCTGGGAAGGCTGAGACATAATGTGCCCCTGGTTTCAAAAACATGCTATCTTTTAACACCGTAAGGTGGACCCAGCATACCCAGGAAGCTCGAAGCCATTCTCCGTGGATTCTCCTCTAGATGAGGATCTGGAGGGTTGGAAGCATTTTCTCCCAGGACCAGGACCTAAAGGAAAAGGAAGGGAGAGAGGTGGATGTGACGCAAGCTCTGGAGAAGCATCAGAAGTTGCCAAAGGTAATGATCATGTTGGGGTCCATGTTGCCTCTAGGATCCATGTCGCCTCTGGGTCCATGTTGCCTCTAGGATCCATGTTGCCTCAGGGTCCATGTTGCCTCTAGGATCCATGTTGCCTCTGGGTCCATGTTGCCTCTAGGATCCATGTTGCCTCAGGGTCCATGTTGCCTCTATGTTCCATGTTACCTCTGGGTCCATGTTGCCTCTAGGGTTCATGATGGATAAATGTTGTAGCCTGGTAGCTAATTAGGCTTTTTAATAATATTTGTAGTTTAAATATATTCATTATTAAGCTCCTCTGAAGCTGCTGCTGAAGTCTGTTAGCATCGCTAGCATCGCTAGTTCCACTCAGAGTCTCTGTGGGCTGTTTTCATCTGTGGAGCTGCTTCCTTTATGTATATGTAGAGTAGGAGGAACTCTCCTACTGCAACTTTCTTTGGCAACATTGCAGGGATTTTGGCAGCAGAGATGAACTGAAGCTGCTCTGTCCTCTGGGAGAAAATGCCTGGCTATGCTCTGCTGCATTACAGCTTTTGTGCCGCATAAAACCAGCAGAACAAAGTCAGCATTTCTTGTTGTTGGAGCTGCACTTGGTTGCCAGGTGAAGGACTCAGTTTGGGATTGCTATGACAAAATGGTGATGCAACATTTGAGGTTTTAGTAACAAGATGTCTTGCAGACACCAAGGCTGGGTGTTTCTTGTTAATTTTTTTTTGCTCTTTCTTCTAGAAGTGGGAAATATCCAAATGGAAGGAAAGAAACATGCAAAAAGTGAATTTTGCATAATAGGGGGCATTTAAACATTTTTCTGTGGAACTCAGTACTGCCCTCCCGTGGTCAAAGATGGTAATTAAACACTAAGCTCTTTAATGAACCAGATTAATAATAAAACTATGAGTGATTATCAGTGAACTGAAGGACAGTCGCTGCTGTTCAGCATCAGAGTTTAGATCTGCAGCTGCTGATAATCAGTTTGTGTGTAAAACTAGAAGCTGTGGTTATAAGTGGTAACTTCAACTGATATGGAAAAATGATGGAAGACATTTCCTGTGATGTCGTTGGAAATAAATCATGGGAATAGTAATAATGCTGTTATTGTTTAAGGCAGCTTCACAGAGAAGCTTGGAGGAAAAACAGAGTATTTAAATGGTTGTAATTTATTTTTATTTAAACATCTTCAGTCTCTGAACACAAAAATAATCTTCATACATTAGAATCTTAAAGTTGAAAACTAAATCATACTTTAAACTCAACACTGGAGAATGATTCTAAATCCTTTGGATTCTGCACTGAACTGTTAATAATAAACTAACAAAAAGAGATTAATGATCAAACACAAATTTAGCTTAATCACTCAACTAATTTTAACATTTGAGTTCAACAAACTCATTTTAGATAAAATGATTGTTGGATTTTATCTAAATGCAAAAAGCTGAACCACTTAGAAGTTTATAAAAAGTCGCATTTACAATTTTTGCATACAGTTGACTACATGGAACAGAAAACAATAAGAACATTATTTAAAAAAAAATCAATTTAAACCCCTGAGAATCATTATTTAATAAATAAAAACAACACCTATAAATTAATCCATCAGTGCATTATGCCACTGATTCTCTGAGGTCTAAATGAAAAAGTAGAAAATATTTCTGCTGTGGCACATCAAGCTCCTGACCCTCTCCCCTCCCAACCTGCATTCCTGCTGCTTTACTATCAAATAAAGGTAAAAAAAAAAAATCCTTAAAAAGACAACCATAAAAAAAACTTTAGAATAAAAAATTTCTGAAAATAAACACTTAAAATAAAAAAATATGTAAAATATCTATTTTGAAAGCTGAAATGGTGGATGCTCCAAGTGTTTCAGTGGAACATCCAGTTTGTGGTGAAAGCTTTTATTCATTTTCATAAAAAAAAAAACATTTTTTATTCATTTTTGTCTTTATGAAGGAAGAAGCAGCTGAGAAAGTAAGAACCATCTGTCATGACTTCAGACCTGAACTGGAAGTGATTCCCATGCCTCCATGGTCAGAACATTTGGCCCAGTTCAAAACCAGAGCGGTTCTCTTCCATAACGTTCAGGTTCTGGATGGTTCCGCTGACGTCCGGATGGAAACATGGAGACCAGAAACCAGAAAAGAACCAGCCAATCCCACTGCTGACCACCTCTGATGGCTCAGAGGAGACTGGGACTTCCTATTGGTCACATGACCAGCTGCTTCATCGGATTTCAAACTTCCTGTTGTCCTTATAAGGAGTTTTGTTGACAATGTTGTTGTTGGAGAGTCTAGAAACAGAGCAGAGAAGATGAGACTCACTCAGGCCCACCAGGGCAGATCAGGGTTCCTCTGAGGACAAATATCTGATGAATGTTTACCTCACAGAACCGATGGAGGCGTTGATGGAGACCAGCTGGAGTAACCCAGCAGTGGAGGCATCAGTGATGTGATTGTGACTGAGACTGGAACACAAAGACAATACCATCATGTTGGGTTCTACTGGGAACAACCAAACTGGGAAAAAGCCCTGTCATATTTCAGAAATTTGAACTTCAGCAACTAAAATCAAAGTTATACCCAAAAGTTTGACTGATCAGAACCCCCACTCCAAATGTTTCCTGATAGGTCAGGCCAAAATGGACAATAAGACCCCACCAGTCATCCCTAAAGTTCCCCAATGGTTGACCCAAACCTCACCAACTTGCCCCCTACAGGTAAAAGAACAACACTACAAATGTCCCTGAATAGAACAATCCAAGATGGCTGACACATTGCAGAATCAGTTAAAAACGGTTCTGCAGGTCCTCCACTCACACAACAGCGCCACCCTCAGGATATTTCCAATTGGTGCAGTTGTGTTCACCTTTGCAGAGCTTAACGTTCCCATTCCAAGGCAGGTGGCAGCTACAGAGCATAGCCACCATCACCAATTAAAGATGGAGATGGAACATCCAGTTTGTGGTGTATTGCAACAGTAGATGATATTTTACAGCATCTGCACGATGACGTAAAACCTAGGACAGGGTCACCAGACTGGGCTGAACCAGTGGAGTGAGGAGGAGGCAGGTGATGAATATTTAGCAGACTTCCATCTTTAAGACACGGGAGGCTGAAGAAGAAGAAACATCTAACTTTCATTTAAATTCATTTTTCTTAGTGCTGTTTTTTTCTCCTCTGAATAAATTCCCTTAAATTGAATTGTGAATTTTCCTGAAGTTCTTTAAAGAACGTTACAATCCTCGTATTTAATGATGCATTTATTTTAGGGTGTTGGAAGTGTGTGTATCCAATCTGGATCAGAACCGAGGTTCTGTCCCCACAGGGGACGGCTGGGACACTTACTCCAGGACCTGGACTTTGTGCAGCTGAGTGCTGAGCTGCAGCAGCAGCTGGTCGGTCAGCTGGCAGTGACTGAGGTCCAGTTCTGCTAGGCCTTCAGACCGGTCCAGCACCAGAACCAGAGCTCCACAGAGCCTCTCATCCACTGGGCTGTGGCTCAGGTCCAGTTCTCCTCCCAGGGCTCTGCACAGGGACATGGCCCGTCTCTCTGTGTCCCCCTGACTGTCCACAAGCAGAGACAGCAGCTGGACCAGAACCGTCTTACTGACTCTAAACAGGAACAACAGAGCAAAGGTCAATGAAGAAGGTCAACACGCTTCAGCTTCATCAGCTCTCTTCCTCACCTGAGTCGGACCCGGTCCAGGACAGGAAACAGCAGGTCCAGGACACTGTCCTCCACCTCACAGTCTATCAGGTCCAGCTGTGTGTCTCTGCTGCTGTGTCTCAGGACGGTGGACACAGCCCTGCAGTCAGCAGCCGTCAGGCTCACAGGCCCGGTCCGATCCTCCTCTGACAGATCCACACAGCAGCTGCCGGACAGATCCAACATGTGCTGCAGAGTCCGCAGCAGCTCTGGTGCTGCCCCCTGCTGGCTGTCAGAGGCAGCACAGCAGAGGATGAAGCTCAGCAGGAGATTCCTGTCCACACTGGTGGGACAGACAAGAAGAAGACCAAGCGGTTGATGAAGAGGAGGGAACGGTTAATCATGTGACCAAGTCCTGATATCTGACCTGAGATCAGAAACGCTGTGCAGCAGACAGAGGACGGACTGGACGCCCCCTGCTGGCATGGAGCTCCACATCAGCTTCAGTTTCACTCCATCACTGTGTCTGAGGATGAACAGCAGAGCATCACAGTCCTCTGAGTCCAGCTCTGTGCAGTTCAGGTTGATCACGTGACCCAGTGACCTCAGTAACCCTGGGATCAGGTGACTGCTGTGATCTCTGCAGATCTGCCTGATGGAAGTCCTCACTAAGCTGGGACTGGGCCTGAAAGCAGACGGGATCCACCACAACACTTTGTTATTTCCAGGCAGCAGAAGCTGCTGATGGAGGATCAGACCAGCTACTTATCAGAAGACAAACCTCCATTTCTGAATCTCCACCCTGTGCAGGAAGGGCAGCAGCTGAACGGCTCTCTCCTCTAAGAACGGGTTCTTCTTCAGATCCACAGTGATGGTCTGAGCTGTCGGCTCCTGCAGCAGGTAGTGAAGAAGCTCCCAGCTCAAGCTGCAGCAGCTTAGGTCTCCACCAACTTTATTCAAGAGGGACGACGTCAGGTTCTGGTCTTTGACCTCCTGGACAAGAACCAGGAGCTGCTGGAGTCTCTCTTCACTCAGTCTGCAGAGATCAGAGACAAAACCAACTGTGTCTCTGTTTTGTGTTAAGTTTCTGATGGAGATGATGAAGATGTTTACCTGAGCGAGAGAGGAGCATCATGAAGCAGCAGACTGAAGAGACTCTGAGCAGGGAGACCAGACTCAGCCAGGTCCAACCGTCCGATTTTACAGAACCTCAGCAGAGACGCCAGACTGCTGCCGACCTTCAACAGGACTCTCTGTGATGAATAGGGTTTGGTGGAGACCACAGAAAGTTCTTTGAGGACCAGAGAACGGGCCAACCTGCCTCTGCTCACCCACTGACCCAGGAACAGAACCAGACTGCTGCAGACTCTGGACCAGACAGAACAGAGACGATGGACATGAGGACGGATGTTTCAGCAGCAGACAGACAAACAGACGTTTCGGTTCCTGCCTCAGACTCTGCAGCTGTGCAGTGGAGCTGAAGAGAACAGCAGCTGCTCCTACGGACATCTGGCTGCCTGTGAGGATCAGATCCACTTTGGGTCCACATAGACGGAGAACTCTGCCCACAGAGCTGCAGGTTTCACTGGTCAACGCTCCACTTAGAAACAGCTTGAAGTCCAGCTGCTGCAGCAGAGACTCCAGCTGCTGAACCTCCTCTCTGGATCGCTCTGACAGGAATGAACAAACGCGCTGGAAGAATCCTGAATCACAGCTGGAACACAGACAAATGTCAGCATCAACACTCTGTGACAAACAGGAAGTAAAAACGTCCAGGACAGAGTTGACTTACATGATCTGTGAGATATGAGGCAGACCCTGCAGGAAACTCCCCACCTCACTTTTTGGAAGTGAGGCACCCATCATCACCACTGGTTTCTTCTCTGGTTGGAGTTTCAGCACTTCCAGGAGGATGGAGGTTTTTCCCTCTGACAGGTTTGTGATACACAGAGAAGGAGCCGACTGGAAAACCGGCTGCACTGATGGAAGGAGACTCAGACCAGTTCGAGTCTCACAGTCCCTCACCTGGGAGTACAGATCCAGCAGGAAGTCATTTTGGCTCTCTTCTTCATCCACTTTCCTCACATTTAACTCCAGAGTTTCGTATCTGCAGACTGATGCCAGCATCTGCAGCATCTTCTCTCCTGTCTGCTTTTCTGTCTCTGCTGCAGCACAGAACAGATTCACTAAGAACCTGGTTCGCTCAGACACAGTTGAGCTCCGAGGATTGAAACTGAAACAAGAAGAAAACATTTAGTGATGATTTGATCTGAGCTGCATAAATATAACCTCACACTAATGAAGGACTGCTGGATATGATGAAAAGTCGTAAACATGTTCCACCAGAGCAGTGATCTCATACCAGGAACATTTCGACTTATTTAAACATGGAAATACAAAATAAGAAGAAAATATGACGATTTGAATGTTAATCCTGTTAATTACAGGTTATGTTTGCATTACTTTGCTGTTACCCTGCAGTGACTGTGCAGACAGAAGTCCTCTGGCTTTCTAACCAGTTGTCAGATTTTGTCTGGTTTTTCAAGAAGCTGTGAGATTGACCTGGAGTCGTCTGTGAACTTTGAACTTTAGAGGAATTAAAGCTGCAGTGATGCACACTGGGATTCACCCACAGGAAATACAAGGTCATGAAATGTAAACCTGTTTCTTCGACTCTATTTATTTTCTGATCAAATAAATATGTTAAATTAAATAATTAATTAATCACAGAAATAGTGTAATTGATGTGATACATATTTTCAATTGACTAACAATAACAATACTCTAATAATTAAATAGTAATAATTATTCTCTCCTGTTTGCTGGGCAGGCAGGAGATCTGAACAGGAACTAAAGCTTTGGGAGAAGCAGGATGTGGCATTACAGTCGTGAAATTGAAAATGTTTAAGGATATTGTGGAAACTGTTTTAAATAAAAACTTTATGTTTAGATTTTAAACAGTCACAACAAAAGCTTAAAAATAAAATAAACTGACAGAATAACTCACTAAGTTTTGTTCCCTTGAGAAGTTTTGATATTACAAAGTGAGACAAACTATTACCTTCACTGGTCCATGTAACAGACTCACCTTCCATAATATTACTGCACAAAGAGGAATATTTTACCTGAGCTGTGAGATGTGAGGCAGACACTGCAGGAAAATCCTCACTTCACTCTCTCCATGTGAGCAGACTGTCAGATTCACTGGTTTCTTCTCTGGTTGGAGTTTCATCACTTCCAGGAGGATGGAGGTTTTTCTCTCTGAGAGGTTTATGATCCAGACTGGAGGAGCCGACTGGAAAACTGACTGTAATGATGGAAGGAGACTCAGACCAGTTTGAGTCTCTCTGTCCTTCATCTGGGAGTACAGACTCAACAGGAAGTCAGTCTGAGTTGGAGTCCTCCAAACCACAGAAAGGTTTTCTCTTTTATTAAAAGGGAAAGTTTCATATCTGCAGACTGATGCCAGCATCTGCAGCATCTTCTCTCCTGTCTGTGTTTCTCTCTCTGCTGCAGCGCAGAACAGATTCACCAGGAACTTTATTTGTCCAGGTACAGCTGAGCTCCAAGGATCAAAACTGAAACTGAAACAAGAACAAAAACATTTAGTGATGATTTGATCTCTCCAGGTCATGTTCTATACATTACCTTACACATTCTGATGAGACTTGTTTGTCAAATTTAAAATACCTTTTCAAAATAATCTATAAACAGGTATTAAACATGCATTTAAATAAACCTAAATCTTGTATAGATTAAGACAGAGCGGTCAGCCATGAGTCCTGGACTGACATGGGCACATGAGGAAGAAGCCATTAACAATCAATTGGTCAGATTTAACATCAGTAAGAAAAAATGTGGATGTGCTTTTATTCAGGATCTGTAAACTTCAGTTTTGAGCTGTAAATCCTTTTCAGATGAAGGCCCACCAGCGAGTGGACTGGCCCTCCACAGGAAGGAAGACATTGTTCCCTCTGTCCTGTTAGATCATCACTGAGTGGCTTGGCTCTTTCAAAAAGCCAGAAGGTCAACAATCTGAGGTCCATCAGGGCTGAGCAGGACTTTCCCAGCTCTACGGCCAGCAGAAGGCCAGCTAACATTTCTGCAGACCCGACTCATCGTGACGATAAGCTGTTTGACTTTTACCCAAATGAAAGGCTGGTTGCCAGGTCGCTGCAGCGCTGAGTAACTGAGTAACTGAGTAACTGCAGAGGGAATTTAGACATTTCATTCAGGTTGTTGGAGAACAGATCCGTCTAAAAGTTTCAGGATGGACTTAGGCAGCCCTGATCTACAGTTTACTACAATTAATATGGATCATTTAAATTTAATCAACACGTAATATTAATTAAAAAAATTAAAGTCAAAATTTAAACAACAATCCAAAAAATGAAGAGGCTCTGCAAACTGACTGATACAATATGTTCTCCTTTAGAATTGGCAATAAACAGGAATAAGCATAGGAAATGTGCTGAGGGTTAAAGTCCGAACATTGGTGATGCACAGAAATTTCAAATTCAGAGTCTGATTTACCTGAGCTGTGAGATGTGAGGCAGACACTGCAGGAAAATCCCCACTTCACTCTCTTCATGTGAGCAGTGTTTAAGCTTCACTGGTTTCTTCTCTGGTTGGAGTTTCATCACTTCCAGGAGGATGGAGGTCTTTCTCTCTGAAAGGTCTATAGACCAGACTGGAGGAGCCGACTGGAAAACTGACCGTAATGATGGAAGGAGACTCAGACCAGTTTGAGTCTCTCTGTCCTTCAACTGGGAGTACAGATCCAACAGGAAGTCAGTCTGAGTTGGAATCCCCCAAACCCCAAAAAGGTTTTCTCTTTTATTTAAAGGGAAAGTTTCGTATCTGCAGACTGATGCCAGCACCTGCAGCATCTTCTCTCCTGTCTGCGTTTCTCTCTCTGCTGCAGCACAGAACAGATTCACCAGCAACTTTGTTTGTTCAGAAGACTTAAAATGCTTAACTTCCAAACTGGAAAAAGAAGAAAACATTTAATGGTGATTTAATCTGAGCTGCATGAATAAGGCCACACACTACTGATGGACTCCATCTTTGATTTCTGTGAAACATGAAATAATGCTTTGCTGGTAAAGAACAGCTTGTAATATTTTTAGACTGTTATGACTGAACTGTTTATGGTGCACAAGCTTTAAGACTGAAATTATAAGTACACCTGTGCTAAACACACACACAAACGCACGCATGCACACACATGTGCGCACGAAGCTGCAGTCCCACTACCATCCGCTCCACCTCCGCCCACAGTCGGCCTCACAACATGGACTAATGAGCCTTTTTTCTGCTTTAACCTAATGTGGTTACCCAAATAATTTTTACATTTTTCTGATCCTGCAACACTGAAAGGGAAAACAATTTGTATTTAAATTTTTGTATTTCAAAACAAAACTACTTGATGGCTATAAATATCAAATGAACAAAAGATACAACAACCCAAAATGCCAACACAGCATTAATATAAACCTCTGCAACCAAAACATAAAATCATGGGAGGCTTTTTGCACAATATAGCCAACAACAGACACTCTCTTGTCATTTCTGACCCACCAAAAGTTAAGAATTAGAGAATAAGGCTGAACATTTAAGAAGAATACTGATTTTCTTTCATTAAACAACTTATTGCTTTAGGAAGCAGTGAGTGAAAATGAGTTAAAGACTAAATGTGCTTCGATCTACCTGATCATCAGCACTGACCTCCATCATCCTGAACTGTGACTTTGACCTGCTTCTTTCTTTACTTCCCACCTGTAAACCACTTTGTGTTGGTCTTTCACATTACAGGGAAACATTTTTATGTTTGTGATGAAATACGGATAAGTTCAAGGGGTGTGAATACTTTTGCAAGCCACTGTATATTGTAGTATTCATTTAAAGTATATTTGAATAATTAGAAAAGTGCTATGCAAAATGTATTATTAAAACATTACAGCTTCATCTTTATGACTCTCCAGGTATTTTATTGAGCATAGCTCACATGTAGCTGTAACTAACCTGAAATAATTCATGTTTATGGTCCAGTGAACATTAATTAGTAACCAGAGACCTACAGCATCAGTGTGTATTTATTGAAGTGACACTCGACTCACGTCACGTGACTGTCAAGTCAATAAACTTCTAAAATGACGTCAATTTTGTTATGTAGATATAACATGTTAGATATTTCTAATACTTTATCTTTTGAGTTGTTCTTCCTCCTGTTTTTGTTTGTTTAACTCAAGATGCTCAAAACCAGGAAGAAGCCCTGAGCCGAACCTGTTCCATGATCCCTGCCAGGTTTAACATAATTTATTATGATCAGATATCAGTAAATATCTTTACCTGAGCTCTGAGATGTGAGGCAGACACTGCAGGAAAATCCCCACTTCACTCTTTTCATGTGAGCAGCGTTTAAGCTCCACTGGTTTCTTCTCTGGTTGGAGTTTCATCACTTCCAGGAGGATGGAGGTTTTTATCTTAGAGAGATTTATGATCCAGACCTTAGGAGCCGACTGGAAAACTGACTGCAATGATGGAAGGAGACTCAGACCAGTTTGAGTCTCTCTGTCCTTCAAATGGAAGTACAGACTCAAGAAGAAGTTATTTTGATGATCTGCCTCATGATCTTCATCTTCATCATCAAGATAGTCATATGTATTACTAAAATAATACCTTATATACATCTTATTTAAAGGGAAAGTTTCATATCTGCAGACTGATGCCAGCATCTGCAGCATCTTCTCTCCTGTCTGTGTTTCTCTCTCTGCTGCAGCACAGAACAGATTCACCAGGAACTTTATTTGTTCAGGTACAGCTGAGCTCCAGGGACTGAAACTGAAACAAGAAGGAAACATTTATTGAAAAGAGGATGAATGTGAATTTTATCAAAATAAAATTTGTTGTATTTGAACTTCTCCTTTGGCTCTGGAACTGGTTGAACAAATATCCAACTGCTAGACTTATTTTAGTCTAAGACTAAGCTCACTTACTTTAGTTCATTTGTTCCATGACCCAAATATTTTAATACAAACTGTTTTTTATGCTTCCATATTTACCACTACATGTCATTCTGAGTTATTTCAGGTTTATTCTTACATATTTTGGTTCAAACAAATTAATTATTAGAAACTAATTTGGCCTCATTTCTAAACTTCCATAAATGAACTTAGTTTGTCAGACAATTTTATTTCTACCGTTTTACTTTTTGGTAGTGCATTGGTTTTTCTCTTTTCATTTTACTTGAATGTTACCAGTTTGGTGAGTTTGTTGATGGAAGTAATTTAACAGGAAGGCTGAATTATTTTGTTAATAACCAGGTTTATTGGTAACACTTTATTTGAAGGGGGTTGAATAAGACTGTCATGACACTTTCATAAACATGACATAACACCTGTCATGAACATGAATGACTGTTTAAACTTTACCTTTAATAACATAAAGTTACCTCATTTTTAAAGTGCAATCATAAATTATTTTATAACAAATTTATATCAGTAATGATTTCCTGGTTAATGTCAAGTTGGCATAACAAAGACATTTTGAATAATGTCAACTTTGTATTAAAAGTGTCATAATTTACCGAATGACACTTTATGACAACAGTCATAAATATTCATGAAGGCTTATTCATGTTCATGACAGGTGTTATGTCATGTTTATGACGGTGTTATGACAGTCTTATTCACACCCCTTCAAATAAAGTGTTACCGGTTTATTTTATTATTATTATTATTATTATTATTTATCTCCTTTATTTAACCAGGTAAACCCCACTGAGATCCAGATCTCATTTTCAAGAGGGACCTGGGCAAAAGTCTGCAACACGCAGCAACCTGGTTACAAAATAAAGCTAAGGTTTTATCTAATGTTGTTAATGATTGATGTTGGCATCTATTAGTTATTCACAGCTAAACCAAACCTATTGCTGCTAACATTTTTAATTACCTATTAATGTTATTCATTATAACTACAATTTGCTCACACAATGTTACATTTTATTGTCAGTTCTGAGTGCAGCATTTAATCAGAACTCACCTTCAGTTTAGTTCACAGTAAGAAGTAAATATCTTTACCTGAGCTGTGAGATGTGAGGCAGACACTGCAGGAAAATCCCCACTTCACTCTCTTCATGTGAGCAGTCTGTCAGATTCACTGGTTTCTTCTCTGGTTGGAGTTTCATCACTTCCAGGAGGATGGAGGTCTTTCTCTTAGAGAGGTTTAGGAACCAGACTGGAGGAGCCGACTGGAAAACTGACTGTAATGTTGGAAGGAGACTCAGACCTGATTGAGTCTCTCTGTCCTTCATCTGGGAGTACAGATCCAACAGGAAGTCACTCTGATATTGATCATCAGGATAATCATCCATATCATATGTGTCTCTTAAACTAACTAGAACACCATTAGAGAAAAGTGATGCTAGCATGTCCACCACCTTCTCTCCGCTCTGCTGTTGTCTCTGTGCTGCTGCACAGAACAGATTCAGTAAGAACCTGATTGGTTCTTCAGAATCGATGCTCCAAAGATAAAACCTGAAACAAGGAGGAAACATTTAATTTGAACTCAGCTGCATTAATACATGCTACTGACACACAGTTTTATAAATGTGTATCTATGGGATGAAATCACAAGGTAAGCACATCTTGAATTTTTGTAGTTTTTATTACATATTTCTCTGAAACTGAGAATGCTGTTCTTAATAAATGTGCAGTAATACTTCTGAAGTTGGAAATGAACCAGTTTATCCAAACAGCTGATCAACACAATTTCTCTAAGACTGACAGAAAGTCTTAGAGAAATTGACTGTAATTATCAAACAGCTGCTGAGCTCATTATAGGAGTTACTTCTGAGCGAAACGCTGATGAAAACATTAAAGGGTTAATAGAGGAGCCATGTTGACTTAATGGAGGCGGAGCTTCAGAAAGAGCAGGAGTTTTTAAAGAGACAGAGACTCAATCTGAAGCGTTAAATCAGGAAGTCAAACTTCTTTTAATTCATGTTTGATATGTAGACAGCATCTTCTAACAATTGAAGGTAGTAAGTACAGATTGTGCTGTGAAATGGAAAACACACGATACTGCCCCTTTTAATGTTCAGTGTTTGTTAAATAACTTGGACAATATTTAAATTTGGTCATGTGTGTTTCTTGCCATATTTTATCCCAACAATATGCAGCAAACAAAAATGTTCTGTGCCACCTTTGTGGGCGATAGAAACACCTTCCTCCAGGATCCAGACGTAACGCTCTATGCTACCATAAACTGATGGTGTGCTGCACTTATCTGGCAACCCTGCAGCTGAAAATCAGCTTTTCTGGAGGACATTCTAATCTGTCTCTTGATTTTCTTAAAATACTTTTTAAAGGTTCCCAAAGTATTTGAGATGTGATCTCTGTATGTATGCCTCCGTCTCAGCAGCGTCACTGCAGACATATCTTTATGTGTTTGGACCTCCTTCTTAAACATGTTTAATAAACTTTACATGGTGGGAAATTATCACATTTTAGATCCCCCTTTCAGTATTTTTGTAGTTTCTGTTTATCAATTTTATATTTTATTAAAAGATTTTATTCAAATCTGACATTAATTATTTAGAATGTACCTGAGCTGTGAGATGTGAGGCAGACACTGCAGGAAAATCCCCACTTCACTCTCTTCATGTGAGCAGTCTCTCAGCTCCACTGGTTTCTTCTCTGGTTGGAGTTTCATCACTTCCAGAAGGATGGAGGTTTTTCTCTGAGAGAGCTTTAAGGTCCAGTCTTCAGGAGCCGACTGGAAAACTGACTGTAATGATGGAAGGAGACTCAGACCAGTTTGAGTCTCTCTGTCCTTCATCTGGGAGTACAGATCCAACAGGAAGTTACTCTGATCCTCAGCAACATCATGATAATCATCATAATCATCAAAATAATCATAATATTCATCATCATAATCCATGAATCTTTCCATTGAGGGGAAAGTTTCATATCTGCAGACTGATGCTAACATCTCCAGCATCCTCTTCCCTGTCTGCTGTTCTCTCTTTGCTGCTGCACAGAACAGATTCACCAGGAACTTGGCTTGTTCACCAAAACCTGAGCTCCGAATATCAAACCTGGAATATGAAGAAAACATTTAATGATGATTTGATCTGAGATGCATTAAAAGATCTACATGTCCTGACTGATATCAATCTGTTCAGCATAAAATGGAAATAGAACTTAAAGACGTTCAGAGCAGCTCTACATGTTTTAAACTTTGACTAACAACACAAAAATAAGAAATGCTGCAGAAATCTGTAGAACAGATTTAGCGCCAAATATTTCACTACATATTTAACTATATTTAGTAATATATCACTAATTATTAAGAATAAGACAGACAGTCTTGGGGAACTGTGGGTAGAGTAGTTGTCTTGCGATCAGAAGGTTGTAGGTTCGATTCCAGCTTCCTCCTGCCACGTATCGATGTGCCCTTGGGCTAGGCCAGGGGTGGGCAATCCTGGTCCTGGAGGGTCGGTGTCCTGCAACTCTTCGATGTCTCCCTGGTCCAACACATTTGAATCCAACATCTGAATCACCTCCTATGTGCAGTCAGGTTCTCCAGAGTCCTGCTAACAACCTCATTATTTGACTCAGGTGTGTTGAAGAAGAGACACGTCTAAAAGTTGCAGGAGACCCTCAAGGCCTGGAGTTGCCCACCCCTGGGCCCTGGGATAACCCCAAATTGCCTACTGCTCTGTGTATTGGTGTATTAAAGATGTGTGTGGGTGAATGTGACTCTAGTGTAAAATGACAGGAAATATATAAGTTCAGTCCATCTTGTTGCCAGCTGCTCTACAACAGAAAACAAAACTTTGGATTTATTTATTTTATGCTAAGAGATCGGACCATGATCTGGTTCATCTCTGCTCTGAGTCTCTGATGAAGAGACGACCTGTTGGGAAGATGTTAGGAAATGGTGACAGGAAGCAGAAGAGGGCCTTCAGGCTTGTTTGAAGCAACTGAACGGCTCGCTCTCTACCAGCCTCAAGGAAATGACATCAGAGCCATGACTGACATGAAGCTCTGTGGACGGCAGCATCGCCACCAGAGAAGAGAGATGCTTCCTGAATGACAAACCCTGATCAGCAGGGAGGAACCAAAGAACCTTTAGGGAGAAGACGGGGCATCACTGAGGAGGAAACAGTGACGCCCCGTCAATCAGAGAATCAGGAAGGAAGAAGATCTCAGGCTGCGAGCAAAAGGAGGATCTGATGGACGGAAGCCTGGAAGGAGCAAAAGAGCTGAAGACATTCAGACAGGTTCAAGATCATCATCATCATCCCACCTTCCTCTGACCCTCAGCTTAACCCTCAGATGAACTGGTTAAACTGGTCTGAACTGGATAAACTGGTCTGAACTGGTCAACCTCTGATGCTCCATCTTCCACTTCAGTCGTGGAGCTGCTGCTCCCTTTGCCTCCACTGTTCTGTCTCTAACATCATGAAGGTCCTGGAGAACCCTGTTGGCCCACCTGAGGAAGCAGACCGGCTCTGATCAGGAACCCCTGCAGTTTGTTTATCACTATGGAGACGCTATCATCCACCTGCTTCATCAACCAGCTGTCACCTGGACGAAACAGCAGCTCTGAGGATCAGATTCATCTGATCTCCTCTATAGACCTTCAGTAGGTGGAGCCTCAGCCTCATCTGGATCTATAAATACATACAATAAATCCAATCTATGTGATCTATATCTATGTCTCACTAACAGCCTGAGGGTCGAACCAGGAGGCAGCAGGAGAACCTCAGGGCTCTGGACTCTCACCATTCCTTTCTCTCTCTACACTTCAGGCACATGAAAATAGACGTTGAAAACTAGCATGGACCACACATCTCTGAAAGATAGAGAGAGGTTTTCAGAAAAGTTGAGTACGAAGCCGGTTGCAATAGTTTTGTCATGTTAAGTAGAATTGGCGATGTTGGGGCAATGATGCTGACAGATATAGGAGTTAGTCTGCAGTCAGAGAGCCAGGAGGCGGTCAGGACGCCATCGCCTGGAGGCCACCAGGTGGGGCCGTTAAGCAGAACTGCCCCAGGGTAAAACCTCAAGTCTTTACCCTGCAACAGGCTTACTTTCAGAGGTTAGAACATTAAGACTAATTATAAATTATTTATTAATTCTTTTAAAAGGGTTAGAGGTTTCTACATTATACAAATAAATTATACATACTCAGAATATCTCTAATAATGTCAATAGCCTTTGGTGCAAAGTCTCAGTCCTTTAATCTCTGTAAGGCTGATAGTCATGTTGTGTTCACAGCTATAGTTGGTCAAATTCTTTCTGTTCTTCTTTGAAGGTATTTTAATTGTTCATCTCTGCCTGTCTGCACAAATCCAGCTCTCAGCCACGCCTCCAAAAACTTTCAGCATGACAACAATGTGTTTAACACAATGATACAGAAAGAATACTCATTATTAATTTAACAATTTCACAAGGAAAAGACCATATGCAGCAACATACAGTAGAATGACTTTACCAGAGCTGTGAGATGTGAGGCAGACACTGCAGGAAAATCCCCACTTCACTCTTCTCATGTGAGAAGTTTGTCACCATCACTGGTTTCTTCTCTGGTTGGAGTTTAATCACTTCCAGGAGGACGGAGGTTTTTCTCTCTGAGAGGTTTATGATCCAGACTTCAGGAGCTGACTGGAAAATTGACTGTAATGATGGAAGGAGACTCAGACCAGTTTGAGTCTCTCTGTCCTTCATCTGAGAGTACAGTCTCAACAGGAACTCAGTCCGACTTCTATCTTCCTTGAAAGGGTTGGGTGGATAGACACTTGAAAATCTCCAAACTGATGCTACCAGTTCCACCATCTTCTGTGCTGTCTGCTGTTCTCTTTCTGCTGCTGCACAGTACAGATTCACCAGGAACCTGTATTCTTCTGAATTGTTTGTCAGAAAAACAAAACTGCAAATATAATGATAAAAAAGAAACTGTGGTGTTAAAATGTTCATATTTGCAGGTTCAGTCAGGCTAAAAGGGCCCAGAATCATCTTGGCTCACCGTATTGAGCTGATGTTTGATAAAACCTCTACCAGGTACTCATGCAGACCCCTTAATCTTGGAGCCCAAAGGTGCTGGTACAAGCAGACATCGACCTTTGTAGGAGCTTTCTGCATGACCCTCACAGCTCTTTCAAAAAGCTGCTTTTCCCCCCTCACTGGAAGATGTATCTGGTTTCCATCAAGGTTCAACAAGGCTTCATAGTCCATCTGTGAAAAAACAATAGTCTCAAACATGTTGTAGAAAAAGTTGTTTTGACATGAAAATGTTTCAACAAAATGATAAATGAACATTTGCCTGCAGACTTTGGTTGTCTATTTGTCCTTCACTGAGAAGCACAATCTTCCAGAGCTGCTGTCGAAAAGTGCCAGTCCTGCAGTTTAAAAATACATTTAGCATTAAACATTTCATAACTTTCTACAAAATATGATTCTGAGCATTAGCAACCCCTTAAAACTTGTTTCACTGTACCGTTCAACATTTTGGAGGCATCTACGCAGTCGTCTCATTCCTTGTACAGATATCGTCACATCCTGAAGGTTCAGATTTATTTTCCTGTCTGTTGATTGACTGATCACATAGGACACAGCGCAGCAGGAATGAGGGTCCAGATTCTTTCTACTGAGGTCAATATGATAGTTCAGTTTGTCCAGAAAGGAAATACAGGGTTCAGAGCTCTGGGACTCGTACAAACATTGGCATAAGAACAGCATGTCCACATGACGCTCACTGCCATGAGACAAAACTGTGTCAATCAAGTCTTTAGTGACCCATTGTTGTGTTTCCTTGAGCTCCTCAGCTGGAGTCAGACAGATCATCAAACTGGGACTCTTCTGATTCAACAAACGGCACATGAACGGGATCAGATGCTTCATGTGTTTCTTCTCCTCAGTGAGGAACTGCTGCAAAACCTCCCTGATCTTATCAGGACTCTTCAAAGCCCACAGAGCTGCAAAAAACTCCTGCATGGTGTAATGGAGGAAAGCATAGAGGGTTATGGTTTCAGTAGGAGCAACTTTCACATCAAGAGTTTTCAGGAAGGAAAGGACGCAGCCATCTTCACAGGAAAGTTCTTCCAGGTTCACAGTTTTTCTTTCAGTTGCATTAAAAGCAGCTTCAGCCAGAGACAGGATTTCATTGCTCTTGGTTTTGATGAACTGATTGAGATTCTTCATCTTGATTTTGCTGCTGTTCATCTGGAGGCAAAACCGAACAATATTGATGTATATTTCAGTGACAGTTCTGGGCTGCAGAGAGTCTTCAGATGAAAAGCTGGCAGCCACCATCAGTGCATACATTGGAACATGACAAAGGGTCAACAGCTCCACGTTACTCAGGACCTTCCTGTGATCTTCACCCAGAACTGAAGACAAATATCTGCTTATTGTTTCCTTACTGAAGCCTTTCACCTCCACTCTGAGCCAGTCTTTAGGACAGAAGTCTTTCTTATCCTGATCCTCATCTTCTGGTCTGCAGGTGATGATGATTTTTGCATAAGGCAGATTTTTCTTAGCAAATTTCTTCACAACAAGTGAAGTGAAATCTGTGACTCCATCTAAAATGATGATAAGATTATCAGAGTGGCTCTTCATATCTGTTAATATTTCGTCTTTGCCTTCATCCGGTTCACAGTGCACATTAAACAGGAGATCCTCCAAACTCATGGTTGGTGGGATGTTGGTTAACTCCCTCATGTCAAAGTAAAACATGTAATCCAGCTGCTTGTCTCTTTCTGACCACAGTCTCAACATTTCATGACTCAGCGCCGTCTTTCCCATCCCAGGTTTCCCAACAAGGAGGATGTTTTTATCATGTTTCAGCAGGTCACTGGGGGAGATTTCTGGTTTGCTCTCTGGAATGTAAGTCCTTAACTTTTTAGAACGATACATGTTGCTTTTCTTGTTTTTAAATGTCTTTACTTTGGATGGAGTAGTTGTCCCTTCTGTATTTAATACAAGTGAATAAAATGACAGTCCAGGCTTCTTGTTTTCTTCAAAAAGATTTTCACTTCTCCTCCAAATATTGTTAGAAAATTTTTCTGCTTCTGTCTTCAACTTTGCTTGATATCTGTGGCACGGCTTTGATCCTGAGATTAAATAATGATAGAGAATCAAATTTAAATGAACTTTCACTTCACTTATATTGCCCTCACTTGCTAAAAAATAGATATATTTCACACAAAGTGGCAAAAACTAAATATCTGGATCTAGTTAAGTAAAAAAACAATGACACTTTTTAAAATGAATCTTTTCGATACCTTTGATGTAGTCAACATAAATGCTGTCATCGTCCCTGAAAGGAAAGCAGCTGATCCAGTGATGCAGATCAAATCTTTTAGCCTTAGTTGAAGCTGAATGCTTGTTCTTGGGGTGAGGAGCTGGTAAGGTTCTGCTCCTCGTCTCATAAAGAATCCTCAGTAACCTGTAGCAGGCTTCTTCCCCTTTCTTAGTGACTGAGTCCAGTATTGCTCGGGTTCTGTTGAAGTGACTTTTCTCTGCCTCTATGTTGCTGACCTCTTCTTCCATGAGAACTTTCTGCTGATATAAGTTCTCCAGAATCACTGACAGACTCGTCAATTGTCCAACCAGGTGACCTCTAGCACTCTTGATATAATCTGAGGCAGACTGCGATGAACAAGCCATGACTGCTGACTTCAGCCTGCTCTGCAAACAAACCCAACATCACTGACCCGAAAAATACAACACCAATTTATTACTATGCCAATTATAAATAAGTATCAAACTTAAGGCAGTACCCACACCTAACACAAACACTTTATCGGTTAAACTTGCGTAATACATGTAAATCAAGTGCGAAATAGAATAAGAAAGCTTTAACAGGTTACAGTTTCAGGAAACACCGATAATTTCTGCACTGTTGATAGGAATTCAGCATAATGAAGAATTAATATTCACCTATTTTAAACATATTTTTAGCTGGACTTTCAATAAACATTCAGGTTGAACTCATCTTGCTATAAAGACAGACGACAGTACTGGCTTAAAAATAGACATGAAAATGTTCGACACGGAGAAAATAAAAATATAAATCAATACATAAAGTAACTCTTCATTAACAGGTAGGCTTTTTATATCTCAAATTTTACATTTTCAAAACGAAGATAAAATGATGTGGAACAGCTTAGTGAAATAAATATAGACGGATTTCCGGTGTATAGTAACACAGACAGTTTAATGAGGACTTCACAGAACTCAAACTAAAGATATTCATCAATAAACTCGTCCGTCTGCTCTAGAACATCAAAACAACGGGCTCAAATACAACCTTGAAGAAAAGACACGAAATACGATAAGGAAGAATTACCGCAAACTTCTGGCAAATCAAAATCTCCACAGGTTCAGGGTGTGTAACGATGGTGCAGTTTGCGCATGCGCAGTGCCATAAAACAGAGCAGCACTAATTCACATGCATCCACTAGATGGCCAGTTAGGTTCGACCGTAAGTCTTATTGAAATGTTCATTTATATCCTAAATCATTCATACTTCTGGCAGATATAAATTTCTTTCTACCGAGAATTTTAAGAAATGTTTCCACTCTACACGACTGTAGAAAATTGAGTCTAAAAAAACAATTTAAATCCCACAACAGGCCACAATAAAAACAATCATTCTATCAAAGTTGTTTTTGAGTGTTTTCAGAGCACAGTGGTCAATTTTCAAGCTGTGGACAATAAATACTTTGTTTATGTTTGGTTTTAATAATTTGCCAAGCTCAGAAATTTAATCTTAATGCAGCCAATCAGATTTTCCATGTGATTCTTTCCATTTTATGCTCAGACTGTAAATGGTATTATTTTCATTAGGTATAAATGTTTCCAGGAGTAGAAATAATATCATTTGGAACAACATTAAATGTCCTTTCAAATAACACTAATTTCATAGATTAAAGGCTAAAACCCATTTTGTTAATTTATAATCCTGGATTAATTTGTCTCCCTTAACTCATTCATTATAAAACTGGAAGAATCTGAATTTCACATTTTTTCTGTTGCCTTTCAGACTGCTTACAGCAGGAGCCAAAGAAACACGGCGTCTCTGGGCTTTATTTATTTCCTGAAGTTTCTGGAGAAAGGAACAAGATGTGTGATGAAACTTTTAGCAGGTTAGAGCAGAAAGACATTTCTGCCAGCAGCTGGTGGGAAGTTTAGCAGCTACATCTGAACTGACAAGATAAAAGTTTCTCAGACTCATTCATGTCATAATTTTATGGTTGAATAACATGAACATTAATTTCTACAGTGAGTGTTTTTTTTAGAACTATTAATGTAACAATGCTCTGCTTCAGTCAACTTGCAAAGATTTAAAATCTGCCTTATGTCTGCTTCCATCTCATGCGTGATGAGGTTTAAGACAGTGATGTATATAAACATCTAAATCTGTTGTGACGCTTGGCGAAATGCTGCACAATGGATGAGTTGTTGCTGCTGGAAGACGTAAAAGGGAGAATCAGGAGGGCATGTTTTCAGGGATCAACATCTTCTGGCTCATGGTGATGACTGGCTTATAATCCATGTAGAGCATTGATGCTGGATCTGTGTGCTGAGGTGGGTCCAGTATTAAAGGTAAAAACCTTAAATGCTGGTTATTTAAGGTCCAACAGTACTTTTCTAAGGCCCTCATACAGCAGCACATATAATGTAATCTCCAGTCTTAAGTTCCCATTTCTGCAAACATCAAAATGTTCTTTTCTATTCATTTCCCTCAGTGGGGGGAACATGCCGTCACATTTAAACGTGCTGCATCCAGGGACCTTAGGACTGAACTCACCAGACTCTCAGAAAGCAGCTCCTGGTTTCTCCTCCTCCACCAATGGATTCACTTTCTGGTTTGGTTCCAATGGAGGCAGTGAAGCAGGTGATTACCTGAGTTCATCTTAACTTTGTTAAATCCTTACTTGTGGAGTACCACAGGGCAGGGCAGGTCTCAATACTCTATAAATACTTCCATTTGGTAACACTATCTTGGGAAAATGTATTCTGTTAGCCAGTTGATATGGGTGTGTTTATATTGCTGTGATCTTTGACCTCATGGGTTTACAGCTCAAACTAAAGGTTCAGGAATGAGAGCAGCAGAAGTCAGATCAACAAGACTCAGACTGCTGAGCAGAAAGGTAAATGTCTGTTTAATACTGTTTTATGTCAGTATTTAACATTTGAATGCTGCTTTTCTCTACTGTGATGAATTCAGGATCAGATTTCATTGGATTTTGAACCAGTTGCTGTGTGTTCACCGTTTAGCCTCAGTGCTGCCGATGTCTCACACCAACATGACTTTTCTTTCAGGTTCTTCTCTGATCATTTTATCTCCAAGCAGTTTCCAACATGAGCAGGTAAACCAACAGATGTGTTGTTTTTCTATTTGTTAGTATATCTTGTCCCTGATGGCGACACTTCAGCAAGGGGTGGAGTTTTATGAAAAGTGGACTTTGTTTTGTTTATTGCATCTTATGTAAAATCTATTTTAAAAACATTGAAACAAAGAGTCTCTATTAAAGTTCTGCCTTTTAGTTTGATAGGTTTAGGATTTCTAGAAAGATCTATTTTCCACTTAAATTCAGTTAACGCTTCCTTCCTGCCTCCAAAAAGGTTCAACTTGCACTCAGACTAAGAAATTGTCACACCTGAGCTCTGGATCTCTGCAGCTCCGCTGGGTGTCTTTGTTGGCTCCCAGAAAATTTACACAAACTTAAAGTAACTTGACTCAAAGTAATATAGAAAATGTGTAAGTTTTCCAGCATTGTCCACAAATCTTCAACAGAGTTGAAGTTGGTGCTACAGGAACAACCAGCAGTGTTCATTTCAAACTATCTAGTAATCTGGGATTTGGAGATAATCCTCTTCATTCCTTACCATCCAGTTTGAACCAGAAACTGTTTTAGTTACTGATAATGCAGTAAGAGTTACTTTTTAATCGCTTTTATGGCTCTTCCCATAAATCTCTGTCTATATCCTGCTTTATTAGGAAACGGCACCACAATTTCAACTTTGAGTTCATTGTTCTCACTTCTTCCATTTTCCAAAAAGAGGTTAATGAATGTTTAATGATTTATTGTTTCGAACTGGATTTTCCTTCAGGGAATTTCTAAAACTCACAACAAACACAAACATAGAAACTGGATCTAGTGACAAGAAGCTGCTATGGCTGAGTTTGAATTTAGAATTTTATTTTATTTACATTAAAACTCGTCAGACGTTTTTTTATGTATCAGGTCTGCAAAGAAAAAAGGAGAGCCTCCTGAACCCAGCAGTGCGTCTGTGAGGAGCAATCATTCTGCAGACTTTCCTATGAACTTTAAAGGCAAACTGGACATTTTTGAAAGAAGGTGAGAGACATTTAACTTTCTTACATGAAGTCCTTGGGACAGATTATCTGCTGCCTGCACTCGTCAACCTTATTCTGCATCTTTATGGTTTTGGACAGGAAGCAACTTGAGAGGAGACACACATCAGATTCCATCTCAGTTTCCATGAAAAGTGACCAACCAGTCAGCCATCCTTTAAACTTTAAAACAGCCGACTCATCTGATGATGGGGAAAGGTTCATATCTTCCCCAATCTATTTAAAAAATCTTGTCACAGAATAAAATTCCAGCAGAAAATGATTTATCTCTCACATTACCTCAACAGCTCTCGTTCTTATTCTCGTTTTTTAGACTTGGTGTTTTTTCCAAGAATATTCTAGAGAAATGCACATCGGATCCCAGCTCAGTTTCCCTGAAGAGTGACCAATCTGCTGGCCATCCTGCAAACTTCAAAGATGAACAAGACACATTTAAAATAAGGTGAAAGTTCATTCATAATGTCAGAATTGTGACCTGATAAGATCTTCACAAGACTCTGAAACCTGGACCTTAGTCTCTTTCCTCAATGTTGTTCCAGGAATTTTCCAGAGAACGACTCAGTACTCGGCTCCATTTCCATGAAGAGTGACAAATCCATGGATTACCCTGTCAACATCAAAGATGGGCAAGTACCTCCTATGTAACAAAAAAATCAGAATTTACAATCTTAACTTAACTAGCTGTGTTTAAATGTGTTTTTGTCATTTACTTCAGAGTGGATGAGCAGGAGACAGAAATGCTCTGTGATCAGACGGAAAACCAGAATGCATCAGAGCTGACCCTCATCTTCAAGGTTTCTACATGAAACACACACTTCACACCTTGGGATAATGAAAAGTCAGGAAGGAAGTCCAGTAGGCATTAGACCAAAACTGGACTCTAACACATCACCTTAAGACGCTTATTGTGATGAGGCTCGTCAGACGCCAGGGGGAATCCCAGAAACAAAAGAAAGGACCAAACTCCTTCCTTACATGGATTTAAACCAACTCCTTTAAATAGTTCATCTCTGCGCTTCCTGATTTCCCCACAAAGTTCAGTGTCACACAGGCATCAGATGTATTTATTTGTTAACCTCCCACACAGTGAAACTTCTGCTGCTTATAAGCTAAAAATGGCGTAATGCAGTGCATTGTGGGACAGGCAGTTCTTAAACCAGTCTCTATGTTCCCAGCAGCTTCCTCTTTAATCGTCAGAGGCCCAACACTTCAAATGCTTTGTTTTGATAAAAATACCTTAGCGGGAACTCAATTACAAATTGACCCATTATGTCATTTAATGTTGATTTACTGTTACATTTACGTTTAATCGTCCCTAATTTAAACAATATTGTTTCAGGAACTTGAGAACAATATTTGTGAATTTGTGAAGAGTGAGCTGAAGAAGTTCCAGGCAGTTCTGCACCTAGGTCCAACACGTTCACAGAGTGAAAAGGATGAGGTTTTGCAAGGTGCAAATGAAGATCAGAAGAGGAGCAGCAAGGAAGCATTTTTAAATATCACACTCTGCTTTCTGAAGAGCATGAAACAGGAGCAGCTGGCTAACTTATTGCACAGCAGTAAGAGAAATCTTGCAAGGATGCTACAGTTCTGCCATTTAGCTTTATACTTTGCTAAATATTCTTTCATGTTCTTCCAGAAATGTTTGCACCACTCTGTATAAATAAGCTGAAATCCAACCTAAAGAAGAAGTCCCAGTGTGTGTTTGAGGGAATCGCTAAAGCAGGAAGTCCAGCCCTCCTGAACCAGATCTACACAGAGCTCTACATCACAGAGGGAAGAACTGGAGAGCTCAACCAGGAACATGAGGTCAGACAGATTGAAACAGCATCCAGGAAACCACACAGACCAGAAACAACAATCAGACAAGAAGACATCTTTAAAGTCCCACCTGGAAGAGATCAACCAATCAGAACAGTGATGACAAAGGG